ATACTTGGTGTTGGGAGATTATGGCAGTCAACGAAAATGAAGAGCTTGATGGGCAATCTCTGTGCTGGGTCCTTTCTGGTTTGTAAAAGCAGCAATGTCTAAAATGAAACAGAAAACTCTAGAACTGTGTCTGGGGCCCTGGACGATGCTTCCTTTCCACTGTCAGAGTCCCTTCTTGAACCTAGGTGGGCAGCTGCTCTCTGAGCCTCCTCCATCCTCATTGGTCATGCCGAGTGCCCCTCACATAGGCGCTCACAGGGAGACAGAACAACTGTGGGCACCCCCAGCTATGTTCTATTAAAAACAATGACACTAAAAAAAAGACACTCATTTTCATTATTTTTTTCTATTTTTTTTCTTTCTTTTTAAAAATTGAATCACTGAGCTACAGTTACAGAGGTTTCATGCTGGAGTTTCAGTCATACAACAATTGAACATCCATCCCTCCACCAGTCAAGCATGATGGCCTCTCATTATTTGTATTTCAAAGCATAATGCCCATAAGGAGAGAGAAAGAGAGAGAGAGAGAGAGAAAGAGAGAGAGAGAGAGAGGGAGGATGCTGGGGCCATTTTCATTCTTCGTGGGTTAGTTGCCTTGTAACTGCAGAAACAACATGCCAATATAGTTGGTGTCCTGTTTTTCTTGGTAAAGGAATGGTTGGCTACAGTCCTGATACATAAAACTCTTGCAGGAAAGAAAGGAGGACTTTATATTACCCCCACATATAAGATTACATTACCAAGGAACAGACGTCCTAGATCCATTGGGAACAACTCCATCACCACCTCCTTTCACCTTCAGCTTAGGCCCTGCCCTTGGGGTGTTCCTGAATGAACTCCTTGGAATGGCCCACCATTCTCTGCCCTTGCTTATAGCCAAAATTTGTAAGCAAATTTTGGACTAGGAAAAAAAAAACATCCTGGAGAAACACATTTTCCTAGAAGGCTTCTAGATGGGTACATCAAGAACACCTGCTTTTGTTGCAAACTTGCTTCTAATTAATTGTTTAAAGTCCCTGCATCCCTAGAGGAGATATGGGAAATCTTTACCTCGGGGTGGCAGAGAATGAAGCAATTATTTAGCAAAGGCTTTGCTTCCATAATTAATGATAGCCACTATATAGAGTATGGATGAGTCTGCTACTTCCCAAATGCACAACTATTGCGTTCCTAAGCTAATTCCACAGAGTTTAGCAACCTTCTCGAAGAACAACCATGCATTTCAAATTGAGGACCTGTTCTAGTCTATCAGTGGGTTTGATCCTGTTTTGTTTCTCCCTGGGAGAGATGTGAGTTAAGCAGGCCATTGGTCATTCTGTAGCACTTTTAATCTTAGGTAACCATCCATCACTAGTTACACTTCCAGTTCCATTTAACTGCGAAGTTTCCATTTGAAGATGTTTGTGGGGAAAAAAAGTAAGTAAGAAAGAAAGAAAAAGCAAAAGGGGAAAAAAGCAGGCCTGAGTGGAACACACTGATTTTCCTTAGCATTCTGATTACGTGGGTCTACGAGTTCAGATGAATCAAAGGAAAAATGAAACTCAGCAGGCGTGATGAGATCAACCGAAACTGCTGAAACAGTTGGGTAGAATCCACAGAAATGGTTTTCTTTGCTAAGTCTGGAGGGTGGAACAGGGCCTGCTTCAAGAGATGGCTCTCCCCAGATGTCATTTGTCTGCTCCTCAGAAAGACGTTGGTTAACAATAGATGCATGCTTTTAAACGAGAGCGGGGCACAGACTTCAGTAAATAAAAGGAAGGAAGTTCATTAATCTCCATAAACAACAGGGTGAATGCGCTATACCATGTTTTTAATTATAAAATTGGAATTTATCCCCCTCTGACATTCATGCTAGATTGGCGACTGGCTCTGGGTGGCCGCAAGGGTGGGGGAAATCGGACTAACATGACAGAGTTTTAAACAATCTAATCAGCAATTGACTCACGGAGGAGATGACCCTCATCGCCTGTGGGGAATGTGTTTTATTCTCGGCTCTCTCTTTCTGCTTAGAGCCTCCCAGGGGCTTGAGAAATCTGTTGTATGAGGAACATTTGAAAGAAATACAGGCTTACGTTTACTTAATCCAAATGGATCAGGCTCTGCAACTTTCTGAGGAACTCAGAAACTAGAAAATGCTCTAACACAGGACACCAATCATGAGTGGGTTGATGTTAGAATATTCTGGAAGGCAGGGTGGTCATCAAAACTTCTGATTGCTTCCTGGCAACAAGGTACTATCTAAAATATTCTCAGCTGTCTCTGTTTGGTTGTCTCTCTCTGATATGACTGTGTTCTATGTCACTACAATTAAGTATTGACGATACTTTTGTTTTCACAAAGTAAAAGTCTCAGGCAAGAATACAAATGTTCAACATCTTTGGAAAACAATATGGAGACTCCTCAAAAATTTAAGAATTGAATTTCCATATGTCTCATCAGTTATACTTATCAGCATTTACCGTAAAAATTTAAAGAACAGTATTTTGAGAAAGATATTTATGTTCCTATGTTTATTATAGTACTATTCATAGTAGTCAAGTTCTGGACACAACCCAAGTATCTTAGCAGATTAGTGGATAAAGAAATGGTTGCAGATATATATATATATATATATATATATATATATATATATATATATGGCTGGAGGGATAGCACAGCAGGTAGGGCATTTGCCTTGCATGAGGCCGACCTGGGTTTGATTCCTCTGTCTCTCTCGGAGAGCCTGGCAAGCTACCGAGAGTATCCCATCCGCATGGCAAAGCCTGGCAAGCTACCAGTGTCGTATTCGATATGCCAAAAACAGTAATAAGAAGTTTCACAATGGAGACGTTACTGGTGTCCACTTGAGCAAATCAATGAACAACAGGAAGACAGTGCTACAGTGCTACATATGTGTGTATGTGTGTGTGTGTATACACAAACACAGTGGAACACTACTAAGCTCTAAGAAAGATAAAATCATGCAATTTGTTGCTGTGTGGGTGGGATTGGAAGGTATCACACTGAGTGGAGTCATCCAGAAGGACTGGTAAAGAATGATTATTTTCATACTTTGGATACTTAGAAACATATTATCAGAATAATAAAGGCTCAAAGACAATAGAAGCTGAGAACTGATATACAGGACTGTGCTTATTAGGGAGGGTAGCAGTTGAGGTGTGCATGGGGGTGTTTGGAGAGGGAACCCTGAGGCAATAGTGGAAGGAAGTGAACACTGTAAGAGGGAATGAGCTGTTGGAATGTTGCACACAAGAAACCTTATCACTAACAGTATCATAAATTGTGTTACCTAAATTATAGTTTTGTAAACTGTGGTGCCTAAAATTAATTAATTTTTTTTAGAAGCAAAGGAGAGGAAAGCTCTATTAAGCTTGCAAAGACATGGAGGATCCTTAAATTCACAGTGTAAGTTAAAATGAAACTTTTAAAAGGCTAAAAATAAAAATTTATAAAATAATAAATAAAGACAGTCAACACCATGTTCACTCATCCACCAGCCCTGCTCTACTGAGTCCCAACTCAGTCTCTTAGGAGATGCACACCAAGCAGCTAAAATTCACACAAACATCCCTGAGAAAACTTTGAGGCAGCTTTGGAAGGTGGGCAGGCCAAGTATTGAGCTAAAATGCATAAATGTTATTACTTTGTCGATAATTTTTTAAAGCAGTTGAAGATATAATTATTACACGATTCTATAAAGCTGCACTGGATGAAAGAATTATTCCCGTTTAATAAGTCCATGAAAAAACATCTTTTAGATCCATCTCAGCTTTAAGCTAGCAGCTTCATTTTCTCTATGTCGGGAAAGAAAAATCCGCAGCGACTCTATCTCTCCTTTGTATCAAGAGCTCTGCAGTGTTTGGCTGCCAGTAACCTCAATTTGCCAAACAGTAAGTAGTTCAGTATGCATCACTACATTCCTTTGCGTGTCTCTTGGGGAGGGGGGATGCAATCAGCTATTACATCAAGTAGGTCTAATTCTCCCCTGATTTATGGAGGTGGCAATAATATTCCATTTCGCAGAGGAATCCAAATCCAGACACTAAAGTCTTTATGAACTTTTCAGGAGGATCTGGGTCATAGGTGGTATCCACTTTAATACAATCCAAAAAAGTGGAGGGTTTGCCTGACAGATCCTGGCAAGTCAGTGATACAGAGAACGGAATTGAGGTCTCCATGTGCCTAGCACACACTGCCCAAGGGAGCTGTCCACATCCTGAGTGCTGATAGGAAGAGGGGAAATGAGACCCAAGCTACTCATTGCTGGTTCCCTATAGCCACCCATCACAGTTTCCCTCCAACTGCACATAAAACACACCGAAGGGCATCAAACCACATAAGTTCCTAGCGGTGTCCTTAATTAAGTGAGATCATCATTCAAACTCCTTGACCTCCCTCGGTCTAGGCAAACAGCCCTCCAAAATTCACCCTCCACCGTGCTGAATCTGGAAAGCAAGTCACAGCCGCAAACCCAACGTGGCTTACAAGGGATCATCAAGCGTTGATGATGATGGGGTTGGATAGCAATCATGTCAAACTTTATATGACCATAACCCAAGTTTACAATGATACATTAAGCCATAAGGCCAGTATTTATACCACCATAAACTTTGCTTATGGTGGTATAAATGGTCACGCTAATGGCATTAACAGCAGCATTCAGTGGGATCACAGCCACTGAGCATTACTTTGATGCCATTAGCATTGCTATTTATATCACCATAAACTTAGGTAGTCAAATTTGTTACATATGAATATAGAAAGAAGATGGATATCCCTGTCCGATGCCCAAGTCTAGGCTCCCATGCCACAGATCTGATGGCCACCTTGCTCCTCCATATATAAAGATGGCTGGAGCATTGCGTTTGTCTGTTGACATCACATGCCACTTCTTTCGTAATTACCATAGAGTAAGGCTTATTTCTAGCATCTTCATTTACTTGGAAACACTCTTTAAGATAGATAAAAAAGTGCAAGTCACAGTGGCTGGTTACACTTACGGTCTCCTTGGCAGCGCAGGGGTCCCACGCTCAGTTTGGCTTCTGATCCCTGGCGATTAGTGTCTCCAACAACCACCTGGTTCACAGGCAGGTGATCTTTGTAGGATAAGAATCCAGCATCTTTCCTCCTGGATCATGGAGAAAGACAGAGAAGGTCAGGAGGCCAAGCCAGAGACATGTCTTCACTGAAAATCGCTTACATTTCGAATAAGTGACCCCGTTCCCAAAACTGTTCTGTTGGACTCTAAGTAGAGTTAAAAAATAATTCTCCCTCTCTTGCATCTGGTGTTCTCATAGCGCTTCATTCCAAACTGTGTGTGACATTTTTGCCTTCTGGAAACCAGAGTTAAGACCCTGATTGTCCAGAAAGGCATGACACACATGCTGCATCCAACTGTAGACTGAGAGTATTCGACCCCATGGCTCCAAACCCACATCCAATGCTGAGCACACTGGCAGTTTGCTATTTCATGGAATTCAAAGTTCAGCAAAGTCAATCCGATCTCTTGCATAATATATGAAACAAAGCCCCATGTAAAATAATCCTGTCTCCTTAATTGCTCTGAAGCAGTTGCTTCAAGGGTTGCTTTCCTGCTGTGCTAAGGAGAAGCTCCTTATTGTTCCCTGTTCTTGTGTATTTTAACAAGGGAGAAAGTTGAGTGAAGTTTGCAATGCAGAGCAGGTGCTCAGTAAGCATCTATTTCCATCCATAATGAGTGAAAGACTTAAGCTTTCAGTATGATTTGATTTTCCAAATGGATTGGGCTTTCAGTTTACCCTATACTTACTTTGTTTCAGTCCCACACCATATCACAGTAAACTGGAGCAATAGCACAGCAAATAGGGTATTTGCCTTTCTTGCACGCTACTAACCTGGGTTTGATTCCTCTGTCCCTCTCGGAGAGCTCACGAAGCTACCTAGAGTATCCCGCCCCCATGGTAGAGCCTGGCATGCTTCCCGTGGCATCTTCAATATGCCAAAAACAGTAACAACAAGTCTCATAATGGAGATGTTACTTGTGCCCGCTCAAGCAAATCGATGAACAACAGAAGGACAGTGCTACAGTACCATACCACACTAAATAAAGCAGAAGGACAAGGATACAGGAAAGTTCCAAATCCTGGATGGGACAAAGAAACCCAGGAGACATTTCTTTTTTCTTTTTCTTTTTGGATGCTCAGGACTTACTCCTGGCTCTGAGATTGGGGATCATTCCTGGCAAGGATTGAGGGATCATATGAGATGCTGCGAATTCAACCTGGGTCAGCCACATGCAAGGCAAGCATCCTACCCTCTATATTACTCTCTGGTACCCATGAGATATTTCTGGGCGTGGACCCAAAGTTGCTCTTGGGGGTGGACCCAAGGAGAGTCACCTGCAGCAGATTTGTGCTTCACCAGAAGCCACTGCCCTCCTGCTGCTTTGACTGAGGAATCTCTCCAGGACACCAGGTAGGATGGAGGCACAAAACAATGAAAAGACATGCCACCACATTATCCTTCCATTCAATTTTCCCACCCATGATTTATCTGGGCTTAAAACCAATTCTGGAATTGTATTGACAGCTGGCTATAGAAAAGAACTCTGATTATCGTGAGAGAAGCATGAAAGGACAGTTCAACAATCAGGTTAAAGATGTGCTACTCACATCTTTTGGCAAATAGAGACCCAAGATCCGAGGGGAACTGGCTTGACTGGCTGTCTTTTAAAATGTTCTCCTGTTAAGAGCATTTTCTGATCCCTCTGACCTTCTAGAATGTCACTGAACATACATTCTCTGCTGGGTGAGGACCCAGGGAAACCCTGGAGAGAGCTCCAGAAGCTGGCCAGGGGACCTCACTGAAGCAAGTTTTAAACAGCCTGGATCATTCATTATGCTCCACTTTTCAAAACAAAAATAATAGTTTTTGAACTAATCACTGAATTAGAAGATCAGGCTGGAAAATGCTTTATTCTTACTGACTTGTTAACAATGATGTCCAGGTCTCAATTGCTTCTGTGGAATCTTTTTGAAAACCCAATAAAAATTTAAGGTCAATGTTCATAAATAAAGTTTTATTGAAACACAGCCACTTCGAAATTTCTTCTCTGGGTCCCTCTGTGCTAAAATAACGAGTCTGAGTGGTTGTGGATAGTGCACACAGCACTCAAAACCTAAACTATTACCTGGCCCCTTACTGGAAAAAGTTTGCTAACATTTGCTCTAACTTATCACTATCCACATTTTCTTTGGAATTTATCGAGCAAAGATTTTCCGATCATGGTAGACAACCTGTCACCTACCTGGTTTCTAAATTAAATGTGGGTTTTAGGGATGGGAAGTTTATCACTGAGACCGGGAGAAAAATCATTTAACCATCAACCTATTTAATGTCACAGTGAGAAATAAGCTGATTTAATGTTTTGATTAATTTTCAGAATGAGTCCCCTTTAGTACAATAGGTATCTGTTGTGAAAGAAATTGAGGGTACTCGCACTATTACCCTGTATCTCTAGCATGGCACCACTAATACGAATCTCCATGATATTCTGTAATGAATGAGTAATGATCTTGAATATAGAAAGGGTGCATGTCACTGTCACTGTCCTCCCATTTTTCATTGATTTGCTCGAGCGGGCCCAGTAACGTCTCCATTGGAGACTTTTGTTGTTACTGTGTTTGGTATATCAAATACATCACGAGTAGCTTGCCAGGCTCTGCCGTGTGGGTGAGATACTCTCGGTAGCTTGCCGGGCTCTCCGAGAGGGGCAGAGGAATCGAACTTGGGTCGGCCATGTTGGCTGCGTGCAAGGCAAATGCCCTAACGCTGTGCTATCGCTCCAGAAAGGGTGCATAGTTCAATGAATTTATAGGTGTGTGAGAAAACTTCCTTAGAGGCATCCCACAGTTTTCCCTGATTTTTGACCTCAATATATATGGAATCAGTATGTACCCTTTGAAGCTTGGCCCAATCTTATATTCTGATTTTCATTATGTTATTTGCAAAGTTTTCAGATTAAAACAAAGTGCTATATTTGTAAAAGGAAAGAAAAATTTGTGAAAATGTATTATATCCAGCATTGAGCCAAATATTCTCCTTTGCCATCTGGGTTGTTGCCAATGTTTGGTCACTGTATATATGTTATGAATATTCATATTAATGTATCAGAGTTTGATCTCTGGCACCCTATATGGTCCTTGAATTTTCAGGAGTGACCCCTGAACTCAGAGTCAGAACTAAGTCCTGAGGACAGTTAGGTGTGACCCCCCACCAAAAGAAAAGACATCATGCAATTAATTTGCAAACAAAACTTGAAAGAGAGAACAAGAGAGAACAAAAATTTTCAAGTCACATTTTTATGAAAATCTTTGCCACATCAATCAACTGAATGAAAAATATGATCCATTACGCACGTTTAAAAATGCAGTTGTATCTAGTTTAACATACATATTTTAAAGTAACACATGTCAACGGTGATCAATCATGAAGTGAAGTATCAGAGAGGCAGACCTTTTAATTACTAATCCAAGGCTATATAAAACTATAATGTGAACTCAATTATATTGCAGCTACTAAACTTTTTAATTAGTATCTCAGGGAAAATACTGTCAATATTTATTAGCAATTATACATTTATAACATATGTTTATCACTTTTATTGAACATAAAATAATATTTCATTAAAACCACTTTGTGTGGGATGGGGTTCCTGCACAAACCTGGCCTCATAAACAGGAACGTAGGCTGCATTCTCAGCTCCAAAGCCTATAAGCTATTTTATACTTATTTGTGGGATCGGGGCTGAGCATCCTCCACCCAGGTCCTGTAGCACTGTCTTCCTGTTGTTCGTCGATTTGCTTGAGCAGGTACCAGTAACATCTCCATTGTGAGATTTGTTGTTACTGTTTTTGGCATATCAAATACGCCACGGGGAGCTTGCCAGGCTCTGCCATGCGGGCGGGATATTCTAGGTGGCTTGCCAGGCTCTCCGAGAGGGACAGAGGAATTGAACTTGGGTGGGCTGCGTGCAAGGCAAATGCCTTACCTGCTGTGAAGAACACTGCTTTATCTCATTCAAAATATAATAAACTTCAGAGAGTGCTGATACTATGAAGCTCTTTCTTATAGCAATATCTAATTTGAAATTAGTTACTTTATGCAGGCATCATTATCCCCATTTTACTTCTGAGAAGAATGAGACTCAGAGAAATCATCCAACCCAAGGTAACCAGTTCAAAAGTGTAGAATGTGAATTCAAAGCTAAGATGCTCTGGGACTTACAAAACCCAGCTCCCAGAAGAGAACAGCACAGAGTCTCCTGCCCCTGCAGCTGGCTGTCATTGCCGGGGCCCCTTGTAGGGGGCCGGGTTGAGTTTCCCACCCCGCCCTGAGCAGAGCTCCAGCAGCCGAAGACCTCTGGATCCAGCCACAACCATGCTGAGACCACTCTCCACACCCATGAAGGCACCGGCAGAGGAACAAACGCATGCGGATCCCAGGGCTGAGATCTCCAAGCCTGCTCGGATCGGGGCTGAGCATCCTCCACCCAGATCCTCAGTCATCCAGTAGGCAGGGGTCACACCCACCAACTGCCCCCCGGTGCCGTGTAATCCCATCAACAGCCAAGACCCAGAGACTATAAATCCAGCTCCTGGAAGCGACATCTTATTATCTCATTCTTTCTTTGGACAACCTGGCAGGCTACCGAATGTAACCTGCCCACACGGCAGAGTCTGGCAAACTCCCCGTGGCGCACCCAATATGCCAAATACCAGTAACAATGATGGGTCTCATTCTCCTAACCCTGAAAGAGCCTTGAATGTGGCACTTTTTGGAATCTCAGGGTAGGACAAAGGAGATGTTACTGGTGCCTGCTCGAGGCAATCGATGAACAACAGGATGATCGTGATCATGATGCAGGCATCATTATCCCCATTTTACTTCTGAGAAGAATGAGACTCAGAGAATTCATCCTACCCAAGGTAACCAGTTCAAAAGTGTAGAATGTGAACTCAAAGCTAAGATACTCTAGGTCAGAGCCCAGGACATTCTGGTGAATAACCGAAACAGACAAATGAAATCCCCCCAAACAATTAAAAGTTCCTTCAGTTTGCATCCTCATTTCTAGAGGAAGAGAAAATGTTG